TGATGTTGATCTCGTACAAGTTGCTGGTGATGTTATTGATGAAACACGACATCCTCACACTGTCATGACATCTGTACCACCTTGAACAGAGAATCTTTCAGCTTACAGTGCACAACAACAGATATAACAGCACAACATACATGTGAGCACGATTTGGAGAGATCACCTTAGTTGGGACCTTCTATTAGCTGTATTCTGTATCTTCCAACAGTACACCACAGTCTGATTCGCTGACTTCACACTTACCCTATAGAACCCTGTGATCTCCACATAACAGACACATTAACATCATCTTCGGGCTTGTAGTGTTCTCCCCAGGTAAACTTCAGAGACTTCCAGTTGAAACAAACAGCACTAAGGTTTGCCACGTGTGGAGGGTCTACAAAACAGATCATGGATATCAGACCCCCACAAAACAGATCATGGATATCAGATCACTAAGGTTTGACACGTGTGGAGGGTCTACAAAACAGATCATGGATATCAGACCCCTACAAAACAGATCATGGATATCAGATCACTAAGGTTTGACATGTGTGGAGGGTCTACAAAACAGATCATGGATATCAGACCACTAAGGTTTGACACGTGTGGAGGGTCTACAAAACTGATCATGGATATCAGACCACTAAGGTTTGACACGTGTGGAGGGTCTACAAAACAGATCATGGATATCAATAGACATGAGACTATGAGAGAACATAGAGCTACTATTCTGGTGAGCTAACAAGGGTCATAGTCCTTCAGTGATCAACTTACAGTCAACTCTGAGAACCTGGAAGCCAGTTATGTCTGGTGACGCATTGCTGTGGTTGTTGAGACAGTATATCATCAAATCCCCCTCAAATTCATTATTGTCAATGACAGGCATATTCAGCTGAAGGGTTGATGGTGAAATCACAGTCTGGTATTCAGCAGGCAGTAGCTTGTCACTCTTCCAGGCATAGTACAGGGTGCTGGAAGTGCTGTTAGCATCATCCAACAGGATGCAGTTTAGGGTGACATTGCGTCCGAAGAAGCCATATGGGTTGATAGGCAACAAACCTGCAAACAGACATGGAAAAACAATCACATATCAGAGATTCAGAAGAACTATGCTTGTCTCAGTACGACAGAAGCAGATGTTTCTTAACATGTGTTCTTTCAACCTTAATATATAGATCATTTTGTTAGAAAGTAGAAAAAAGAAGTTTTTCACATAATACTAGTGTTGTCAATGTGATAAACTAATCCTATGAACTTGGTGTTATGATACTTCAGTTGGCAGGAAATAATCATCATACGCTGATTCAGTGTGTACTTGCATCATGCACCCGTGAAGGTCCGGATTAGAATATTGGCCTTCAGTAACCCATGTCTGTCGTAAGACGTGACTAACGGGGTCGGGTGGTCAGCCTCGCTGACTAGGTTGACAAATGTCATCGGTTCCCAATTGCATAGATCGATGATCCTGTTGTTGATCACTGGATCGTCTGGTCCAGACTCGATTATTAACAGACCGCCGCCATATAGCTGGAATATTCCTGAGTGCGGCGTAAAACTAACCTCACTCACTCACTCACTTGCTTCATGGACTAAACATTCCCAATGTTTGACAGGGGTGGCCTGTAGATGTTGGTGATTATGTTGTCAAAATCTCCCAGTGGGACCAACAAATTTAGGTGAGGGATTGGTGATCAAGAAGCGTCCGCCATTCCTCTCACAAGTACCACTCTATACGATAAGGTTGACGCCAATCTGTTTAGAAAACCCAAGAAGGTACCGAGTGTCCTTGTTCTGTTGCCCATTCAAATCTCTGTTCTTTTTCACATTTTACTTACACTTCTTTTCTTTTCCGTGTGTTAGTTGTTTTGAAACTCTCGGGGAGGGAGATAAAAAGTGATGGGCCAGACGGCATGGTCTTATTGGGTTTCAGCTTGGGAGCCAATCACCCAAATGCGTGTACAAGAGGCGCAACTTATGGCTTGCATTGAGTAAGTAGTACATTCGAATGATCACTGATGTTTCTTGAGAATGTAGGAATGTATGAAATACAATTTACCCTTCCAAATATGCTCAATATCTGTTTATTATTGTGTGACCGTCACCTTCGCTTTCATTGATTTAGGTATGCGTTTCAGTTTCACAGTAATTATATGTAAACAACTTTATCAGGTTGGTGTATGCAGTCGCAAATGCATTAGTAACAAGGAAATGTAATATTTAATGCAACTGGGTAATTTCGTAAATGGTATGCACTCCACATGTTCGAAATACTGGTTTGAAGCGTCCGTAAAAGAGTTTTGATTTATACATTGTCCATTACATATTTCACTCAAAGGTGGTTTATCTGTTATTCGGTTCATGAGGAATATGTCCTTTGTCATGTAAAAGCTTTGTTATATGGAAGCTATTTACAGTTATTGTATTGTTTTGCAGTTTTTTACCCGTTCTAAGGAATAAACTTTGAAGATTCCAGTGAAATATGGGTTAACTTGCTGTTATATTATCTCGCCTGAGATTGACACAGTACAGTAAAAAATCTTGACTGCCATCGAGCATTAAAGGAAGACTCCGTCTGGTGTCTGCAAGGTTTAATTCTTAGCAGAATTATATTGGACTATGGCTTATTCTAAAGGTTATATTGATGAAATAGAAGCAATAAGCACTACTGAAGAAGGCAAATCAAGGTTAAGGACACTCTCGGAAAAAGACAAAGTCTACTTTGATTCCCCAAATCAGTTACATCGTCCGAAATTAGAAAAAATGATTACAGAGATTGATAAAGTGCCTGTTGAAGTGCAAACATGTGTAACACTAAGTTGTGAATATTGTTCATTTCTGAACAGATGTGGCGTTACTGAGAGTGATAAACAGTTACAGGTGCACATAAGTGATGAACAGCTTGTTAATGCTAAAGTGAAAACTATTTCACGGGATATTAATTCTAAAATTAAGGAATTAATTGAGAAAATGTCTAATTTTGTCTAATGTCATAATAAAAAGACTGAAAGGACTCATAAGACCAAATCAAGTCGTCGTACACTTTCACAGGCATCGACTAGTTTGTCTGTACTTCTCGCTCGGAAACAGGCAGAAGCGGAATCCAGCAAGGTTGCTCTAGAATATGCGAAGAAAGAAGCAGAATTACTGAAGAAACAGGCTGAAATGGAAGCTGAGAAATCTCTTTTAATTCATGAAAAGAAAACAGCAGTTATTGAAGCAGAAGTAAAAGTGTTGCAAGCTGTGAATGATTCTCTCGAGGAATCATCTGACCATGATTCTGTTCCCGTGGAAGATTCCCAGCTATGTTGATAACCTTCTCGATGATGTTGCGTTCTTCCCTGGCATTCCTGACGTTCCTGGAGTTCCCAGCACCCCCAACATTCACATTAAAGGACAGAATACCTGTGTTATCCCAAATAATGACATTACACATGTTAAGGGTACACATGATACAAACTTTATGTCAGTTAACCATGGTAACGTTCGAATGCAAATTCTTCTCCTTTTCAGAGTACTGATATTGCTTATTTTCTACTCAAGAAAGATTTAACCATATCTAGGCTAAGCAAATTTAATGATCAACCAGAGTCCTATCCCATATGGAAATCAAATTTTCGTAGTGTGGTGAGTGAGGTCAAAGTTAGTGCAGTTGAGGAATTTGATTTGCTTATCAAATGGCTGGGGTCAGAATCAATTAGACATGCAGTGAGTATTAGAGCAGCCAATGCTGATAACACGGAGTGGGGTTTGTTGAGATTGTGGGAGCGTTTAGATGAACGTTTCGGATGTCCTGAGATGGTGAAAGCTTCACTTGAAACTAGGTTATCAAACTTCCCTAGACTTACAAACAAGGACTGTGCAAAGTTGTATGATCTGGCTGATCTTGTAGCCGAGATTAACTCATTCAAACAGAATCCAAAGTATGCTGCGTTGTTGTCATACTATGACTCGTCCTCTGGAGTCATTCCAATTGTACAAAAACTATACAAAAACTACCCTTTGCCCTCCAAGATAGGTGGACATCACGTGCCTTTAGATACTACCCTTTGCCCTTCAAGAAAGGTGGACATCACGTGCCTTTAGATACTACCCTTTGCCCTTCAAGAAAGGTGGACATCACATGCCTTTAGATACAAGCAGGACACTAATGTACCATTTCCTCCATTCACAGAATTTGTATCATTTCTACGCGAGATCAGCAAACTTATGATCCCAGTTCCAGATGTATGATCCCATTGTTCAAAACAAGTACATCATACTGAGGCAAAGCGGGATAAACCCTCCAAACCATCTAGCTATAGTTTTCATGCAAAGAAGACTGATGTAGACCAAAGGTTTGAGAATACAAGTAATTAGCTGAGCAAATGACCCATCCACAACAGTAAACACACGTTGAGTGACTGTAAAACTTTCAGATCCAAACCTTTTGAGGATCGTACGGAGTTTCTGAAGCAGAAAGGTTTCTGTTACAAGTGTTGTGCATCACGACATTTGCCGATTAACTGTACTGAAAGCCCTCGCTGTGGGATACGCGACAGTACTAGGCATGCCACTGCAATGCATAATGAGAACTTTGATAGACAGTTCAGGACCACCCAAACTTCCAGTAAAGTTGTTGCAGACAATACAAGTAGTAATGGACTTCCATGCAAGACATCGGCTACATCAAAGTGTACACAGATCTGTAATGGGGAATTTCATGGAAAGTCATGCACAAAAATTGTCACTTCTTGTCTCATGGAAGGCCTACCATTCTTAAGCCATGTCAAAATGACTTTCAGATGAAAGACTTTCTTTGTGAAGTTCCTGAGGATTCCCTGTTTACGATGACCAAGGATGATGATAAGTTAGGCTTATCACAGGAAGACCGAAAGTTTCTAAGTCTCATGGACAAGGAAATGCATAGAGGCCCTGAAGGTAATTGGGTAGCGCCATTACCGTTTAAGGATCCAAGACCGGTTCTACCTAACAATAAGGATCAAGCTGTAAAGTGAGCCAAGTCTTTGGAAAAGAGCATGGATAAAGATCCAGTGAAGCGTCAACAGATGATTGATTTTATGGCCAAGATACTCTCTGCTTATCATGCTGAACGTGCTCCATCATCTATTAAAGGTGCAGAAGTTTGGTACTTACCACTGTTTGGAGTTCATCATCCGAAGAAACCAGATCAGATACAAGGAGTGTTTGATTCATCTGCCACTTACAAAGGAACATATCTGAAAAGTGTGCTTATGAAAGGACCAGACATTGCCAACAGATTAATAGGCGTCTTGTTGAGATTCCGAAAGGAAGCTATAGCAGTCATGGGAGACATTGAAAAGATGTTTCACTGCTTCCATGTCCCAGAGAGACACAGAGATTATTTTCGGTTCTTGTGGCATGACGACAACGACCCAGATAAGGAACTTATTGAGTACCATATGAGAGTCCATGTGTTTGGTAACAAGCCATCTCCAGCGATTGCAACATATGGGCTAAGGAAGGCTGCTGCATCTTCGAGCTTATATTTTGGACAGGACGTGAAGGAGTTTGTTGACACAAATTTCTATGTAGACGATGGGATTGCTTCTCTACCTTCTACAGGAGAAGCTATTGATTTCGTTAAGAGGACTCAAGCAGCTCTGAGAAAACATGGAAATATCTGTTTTCATAAGATAGCATCAAACAGCCCAGAAGTTATGAGTGCCTTTCCATCTGATGACAGGGCCAGTGATCTCAAAGACTTGAATTTCATGGATCACAGTGAACAGTGTGTTCCTATTCAACGCAGTCTAGGGATATCTTGGGACATAAAAACTGATACATTTGTGCTCCAGGTATCTGTAGGTGATAAACCTTACACGAAACATGGAATTCTGTCTTCGGTTCATAGCATATATGACCCTATGGGATTCTTGGCACCAGTGACCATCAACAGTCGCTTGATTCTTCGAGATGCTGTTTCCAGTAATGTTGGATGGGATGATATCCTATCACATGAACTTCAACAGGAGTGGAGCGAGTGGCTACAGTCACTTCGAAGATTGAAAGACTTACATGTGTCACGACCATTTACATCCTTGTCGTTTAAAGGAGCAGTTGGGCGGCAGATACTCATGTACTGTGATGCATCTGAAAGGGCCATAGCAGCTGTGTGTTATTTGGAACTAGAGACGCTGGAGGGTGAATCTCAAGTAGGATTCCTCATGGGCAAAACTAAGGTGGCACCAAAACACGGACACACCATTCCTAGGTTGGAACTTTGCGCGGCTGTCTTGTCAGTGCAGCTGGCAGATCTTGTGTGTGAAAGCTTAGACATTTAACCGATGGCAGTAGTTTATCACACCGACAGCAAAATTATTCTCGGATACATTCGAAATGTAACCAAGAGATTCACTGTGTATATCTCCAATAGGGTTTCAAGAATACTTCGCTCTTCTTCGATCGACCAGTGGAGATATGTGAGAACTGACATCAATCCAGACGAAGAAGGTACTAGATCAATCCCTCCTTCTCAGATGCCACATAGCACTTGGATCCAAGGACCTCTAGGAATCAGGACTGAAAATGCTGAAGATGAAACTGAATCTGAAGAGGTATCTCTTACCGACTTTGAACAGTTACCAGAGATTAGAGTCCAGACAACTTGTATTAGGGCACAAAGCGGACTTCTTGGTGTGAAAAGGTTTGAACGTTTTTCGACATGAGGAAGTTTGGTAAATGGCATTGCTCAGCTGTTACATTTTGTCAAGTGCAGAATCAACGAGAATCCTAGAAAGGACATCAGTGTTTCAGTTTACACTGAAGCAGAGAACTTCATCATTAAGCAAACACAGCATGAAGTCTACCAAAAGGAAATAAAGTGTCTTAGAACAGGACATAAACTTCCAAACACAAGTGCTTTGGTATCGGTGGACCCTTTCCTTGATGATGAAGGCCTACTAAGAGTAGGTGGCAGGCTTCACAAAACCAACTTTAACATCTGCGTTAAGCATCCTCTGGTGATACCCAGAAAGTGTCACATTTCACAGTTGCTGATACTTCATCATCATAACGCAGTGAAGCACCAAGGTAGACACTTAACAGAAGGAGCCATACGCTCTGCAGGTTACTGGGTAATTGGAATGAAGAGACTTGTGTCATCCATCATCCTTCAATGTGTAACGTGTAGGAAGTTAAGACGACTGGCCGCATCTCAGAAGATGTCAGATTTCCCATGTGAAAGACTTGAGCCTTTACCTCCATTCACATACGCTGGAGTCGCTCTTTTTTGACCTTGGAACATCGTTGCCCGGAGAACTAGGGGAGGCCTTGCCAGTAGCAAACGCTGGGCCATGCTCTTTACTTGCCGTGCCGTGCCGTGCCGTGCCGTGCCGTGCCGTGCCGTGCCGTGCCGTGCCGTGCCGTGCCGTGCCGTGCCGTGCCGTGCACATCGAAGCTGTTGAGGACCTTAGTACTGATGCATTTATTAATGCACTACGTCGATTCATCGCAATCAGAGGAAACGTAAAAGTTACTAAAACATTTCAAGTCGGATACAGGAACCAACTTTATTGGCACCACTGGTATTCTTGGACTCAACATTGTAAATGTAGAGGATCGGGCCATCAAAGGTTTCCTTCGTGACAAAAGAAGTGAGTGGGTGTTTAATCCACCTCATTCCTCCCACATGGGCGGAGTATAGGAGAGGTTAATCGTGAGTGTCTCGTCGTATTTTGGATTCGCTGTTAGCCGAACCGTCACATCACAGGCTCACTCATGACATGCTTACCACTCTGATGGCAGAAGTATCTGCGATTGTAAACAGTCGCCCAATCGTGCCAGTGTCAACTGATCCAGAATCTCCAACAATCCTCTGTCCATCAGTTCTTCTACCTCACAAGACTGACTCAGTATCAGGTATTGGTAACCTAACGCCAGTTCATGACTTGAAACATTTGTACAAGTCTCAGTGGCAACAAGTGCAATCTTTAGCTGATGCGTTTTGGCTCAAATGGAAAGTGGAATATTTGCATACGTTGAAACCCAGAAGAAAGTGGAGAAGTCCTGAGAGAAATGTCCAAGATGGAGATGTAATTCTTCTTAGCGACAAGAACCTACATCGAAATCAGTGGAAACTGGGTGTTGTAGTTACTGCTCTACCTAGCGATGATGGGAAAGTCTGTCAAGTTATTGTGCGAACCATGAGAGATGGAAAACCAATAACCTATACTCGGCCAATCACCGAGTTAACTCTGCTGTTGCCAGCAGAGCAGCAGTGACTCTTTGATATTGTTGATATCTGATCAGAATTGGTGAAAGACTAATTTAACATGTTCCGGAACATTTGAGTTAACGTTAAAGATTCATGTTCTCATGAGTTTATCTTAATTTGGTATATATATATGTGTGTAATGATATTCAGTATAAATATCATTGGGGGGGTGTTCTGTTGCCCATTCTAATCTCTGTTCTTTTTCACATTTTACTTACGCTTCTTTTCTTTTCCGTGTTAGTTGTTTTGAAACTCTCGGGGAGGGAGATAAAAAGTGATGGGCCAGACCGCATGGTCTTATTGGGTTTCGGCTTGGGAGCCAATCACCCAAATGCGTGTACAAGAGGCGCAACTTATGGCTTGCATAGAGTAAGTAGTACATTCGAATGATCACTGATGTTTCTTGAGAATGTAGGAATGTATGAAATACAATTTACCCTTCCAAATATGCTCAATATCTGTTTATTATTGTGTGACCGTCACTTTCGCTTTCATTGATTTAGGTATGCGTTTCAGTTTCACAGTAATTATATGTAAACAACTTTATCAGGTTGGTGTATACAGTAGCAATATTAGTAACAAAGGAAATGTGATATTTAATGCAACTGGGTAATTTCGTAAATGGTATGCACTCCACATGTTCGAAATACTGGTTTGAAGCGTCCGTAAAAGAGTTTTGATTTATACATTGTCCATTACATATAGCACTCAACGGTGGTTTATCTGTTATTCGGTTCATGAGGAATATGTCCTTTGTCATGTAAAAGCTTTGTTATATGGAAGCTATTTACAGTTATTGTATTGTTTTGCAGTTTTTTACCCGTTCTAAGGAATAAACTTTGAAGATTCCAGTGAAATATGGGTTAACTTGCCATTATATTATCTGGCCTGAGATTGACACAGTACAGTCCTCATTAAGGTCACACAGAATACAGCATCATCTATCGACAAAGGGCTCAGCGAATGTCCCAAGTAACGACAAGCCATCATGATAAATCACCGAGACTTCTTTGTGGACAACACATAACTCTAAAGAGTGAGCCTCAAATATGTTTACTCTACATGAGCAGGGATGCTGACAGACCACAAAGTCATGACTGAAAGGCTACATCAGTGCACCCAACTACACAGGCCAAAACAGTCACTGCAGTCGTGAGGGCCATGTGCTCAAAACAGTCACTGCAGTCGTGAGGGCCATGTGCTCAAAAGGGCTGTTTACAATTTCCTCTTCCTCTTTTTCTAATCCTTCTGAAGTCTGAATCTTGAGAAACTTCTTGGAGCAGTATTATATGTAATTAACATCAGAAACACAATGTTGAAAAATCTCTCTAAAGGTTTTACTACACCAAATCAGATTCCATGGTTTAAGATGCACTTTTCGTGCAGGCAGAATCATCTGACAGCAGTGATTGGATGATTTTGTGTAAGATTTTAGTGGGGTTTTAATGTAAATCCATCCAATATTTAAAACTGACCATATTTTTCAATTGTTAGTGCTGTCTTTTTTAACTTCTTAACACAATGACTCATGCTGAATGTGTGCCAGGATATTTTCAAGAAGGTGGCATTTGCTGCGGAACTGGAGTTTTTAGCTTCCTGTACTCGGAAAAGGTATTGGTTAACCTAGCCAAACTTTGTGTCTCTATTGTTGCATAAAGACCATATTCACACTGTGAATAAAAACATATTAGGGGTGACTATTGAGGGGAAACAACTATTGCGATATATCTCTCTCCTTGAATTGTTTCATTTGAAATCATTTCCCTTGTGAATGTATAGTTTATATGAAATAAAAACAAGCTGAAGTAGTTTCAGTCTCTTGTAATAACTGACAAGAAACTTGAAGCTCAGATCAAGTTTTAAGAGGTAACTGGGGCAGTTAACTCTAAATCAAAGTGAACAAATCTGGTAGTTCCTGTATTTTGCGCTGCGCATTTATCAACAGAATTCAATTACTTAACTATTGATAGTCACACATACTATCGATGCATCGATAGTTTTTCGTTTCTACCATCGATTAATTGCTATCGGAGCCTCAACAATTACAATCTATATCGATAGTTGGATGCATCGTTACAGCCCTAATATATATATACATTTAATGGCTGTTAATGACCTGGTTATTTTTTAAGACAATATAACGCTAGTAAGGAAGTCTACAGGAAAACATTAGGCTTTGTGTAACCTGTGTAAGGGTGGGTGGTCTGCACTTAACACAAAATGACTGAGGTTGGGGGTCACCTGGTCAGCCAAAAGCATAATGCATGTTTTGCATGGACAGCCTGTTACCAAAAGTACTGTAAGTCCACATGGTCCCTAGTATGGTGATCTACCTACAGTTGTTGGTGATCTATAGCCCATTTTTATCTTGTACTGTTTATACTGATTTAATTTTATGATAGTGTCCTATTTTCAAATTTATATCTGTGATGCTGTAGTATTTTTACTGTATTTGGATGACAGGTTTTTAGGTTCTAAATTTATTGACTTTAATATTGATATATACTAGAAACTGTGCACACAGAAAATTCCTTCAGAAATAGAATACAACACAGAAAAGACCAAATGATGTAGACACTTCAGAAGCTGAAGTATTGGACCACAACAAAATGTCAAAAGAACAAGAACAATATCCGTAACGATAACGTCATTCGTGTTTCGATAACGTCTGACCAATGCAGATATCTTGTTACGATGGCATTGGAAATGTGCTGACACCTGTTGTTGGCTCATTTCTGCTCGAACCATTCCTATGGCTTCATGATGTTGAGCACATGTTAATCTAGGCATGATGTGATTGTGACTTCTCATGCGAATGTGTGAACGTTTGAATGACCAAAGATCAAGCTTTTGACAGTGACAGCAATTTCTGTGTTTCACATGTTGTGTGTAGCTGCATGGGCTGCACGTGCAGTAACACATTGCAAGTCCATAGGCCACCATCAATGACGTCACCTGGCACGTGCATGAGCGTTTGATTGTCTCCAATACTTGCTGTGTTCACACCTGTATTTATGAGTAAAGATGCTACGTGCCTATATTTATATTTTCTGTGTGCAGAGTTTGTTT